TATAACTAATTTTATTTAAAAAATTTAAAAAGGAATAAAGTACTGGCAAGTTTCATTACTGTATGTCACCATCCCACTTGCCCCTTGAAGAAAGCCAGCAGTAGGAAGGGTGACTTATCCATTGCAGTCCATCAGAGCGTGGGAAATGAACTGGGTGATGAGTTCACCCAGTTCTGTCATGGAAAAGCTTGTTTTTTGTGCCGCTCTTTTTATTGGTAAATGGTTAAAAAAAAATTATAGTGTTTTTTTTAAGGGTGAAATGCTTCTTTTAAGCCTCTGCAAGGCATTTTGCCTCAATGCCTTAAAGCAGGAAAATCCCCATCTTCATTCCCCAGGTAGGCTGATTTCCTTGTGGTTTGAAGACCAGAACATTTAAAATGCCCTTACATGTTCTGATCAAATGAAAGAATGAAACAGGAAAATTTGCGACCTTGCATAACATTCTACATTCATATGTCATGAACCCCTCAATAAACTACAATGCTGCTACTCCTTCATTTCCTAGTATTTCTGTGGAAATATTTCAATATTTCCAAAGAAATATTGAAAATTCAAAAGGGTTCACAAACTTTAAGCACCACTGTATAAGCCTTGAAAGTATCCCTGGCTTTCCCCTTCTGTAGTACCTTTTACTGGGCAAAATAGGAATAACAATTTTTTAAAATAAACAGAAATAAGGTTTATATAAGAATGGTAGAGCTAGAGAGAAAGTAAAGATAATAGCTGCCAGCTGTACATACAGGAATCCTCTAGTAAATTAAGAATATATTGCCATTTAACAGCCTTCAACCAAATGAGGCAGAATTTTAAAGTTAGATTCTGTATGTTTAATACAGAAAGAAAAGCCAAGTATCTTGAGTCCTCACTGAACAAATACACTAATAAATTTATGCTTATTTTACAGCAGGTGGATTGCAGGATCTGTGCTTATTGGAGAATCCAGGGAAATTTAAACATTTTTCATACAATATGAAACCTACCACAATAATCAAAGCAAAACACACAAGATCCAGGCATGAAAGCAAGACTGCGCTATAGCATAAGAAGAGAGCCTGTTGGTTATTCATGGACATTTTAAAGTATCTTTAATAGTATTTTCATCAATGCTTTTATCTAAATGATCTTCTGTACTTTTTACATATTTAGCTGTATAGTATTGGGAATCAAGCATACCAAGTTAACTGGCAACACCAAAGTGTTTCCCGTTCTTCACAAATAAGTAAAAATTCCATAGACATGCTTCTCAATGTTTGCATATTATTCTGTTTGTTTGCTTTAAGCTCAATGTATTACTTCATTTTATTTTAGATCAACTTTTAAATTTCAGTATCAAATGTAAGAGAAAGAGTTTTTACACAAAACACAGATTATACGAAATGTATTTTTAATTTCCACAAAAAAATGACATTTTTCATTCATAACAAGTGTTTTCAACCAAATATTCGCTTTAATATATTGTGTTGGCTGCCCCAGATCCTGGGGAATGAGTGGCTAAATATATATTGAAATTATAATGGAGGTCTGTCAGCCACTGCTCTTGAGCTTCATCACTCTTCAAGACCTGTGAATCAGAAAACAGAATGATTACTTGAAATGTTCAGCCAAAGATGCATTTGAGTGAATTATTTTTAAAATGAGAAATATTTCATTATTTCTCTTATCTATAACTCATGTAAAAGATAAAAACACAAGATACAATTATCTAGGAACACCCAGAGAAACCACAGAAGTTTTTTTTTTTAAGGCACCTAAATAAAGTACATGATAAGTGTTTCAATTTTACAGTATTTGTGACTCATCACAGCATACTAGGAAACAGAGAAATTAATTTTGTCCACATAGGACCAAGCAGATGCTAGTAACTAATGAAGTATTATAGAATTCTACTTGGACATTTTCCTCTGTGTCCTTGGAATGGAAGTCAGTGAAAGTATTGCTATGGGTAAAAGTTCAAAAGAACTCAGTTTTCTTTTAATTTATTTTATTATCACATTTATAATCTAGTAGGCAATCTAGTAGGCAATCTAGTGACACTTGCCAAATTACATGATATGGAAGCCTTAAAATATCTACAGTAAATCTAAATGAACAATTAAAAATAAATCATGAAAATAAAACAAAAACAATATGCAGGTAAAAATAAAAGATGGCACTGACTAGAATGTTCTCCCAAACAACTCAGTTTTTAAAATCCTCCTGAAGGCCATCAAGAAAGGAACAAGTCTGATCTCTGCTGGCCAGAATGTTGGCCCTGAAAAGCAGGGTTTCCTGGCTTCAGCTCCCTTTACTTCCTGGAAGTAAGGAACTATAAGCAGTTTCTGTTCAGATAACCTAATAGGTCAGGTTAATTCAAGTTGGAGTAGATTGTCTTACAGATACCCAGTGCCAAGACATAAAGGGCTTTATGGGGCAAAAACAGCATTTTAAATTATACCCAGAAATCAACTGCCCTAATGCATGGCCTGCTGTGCTCTGTACCAGCTGTAGTCTCCGAGTAGTCTTTAAAGGCACCCCCAAGTAGAACACATTGCAGTAGTTTAGCCAAGGGGCAATGAGGTCATGAGTTATTGTAGCCAAGTCTTTTTGTACCAAGTAAGGACATACTGGCACACCAGCTGGAGCTAGGGAAAAGCTCCTCTAGCCACAGCTTCCATGTACTGCTTGAGCAGGAACCATGAGACAGAAGAATTCCTAAAAAGCAAATCTACTTTTCAAGGTAATGCTTGTCCACCCAAGAGATAACACTGGTGTCAACAGAAAGCCTCTACGAACAAACAGCATGTTCATCTTGCTTGGGTTCAGTTTCAGCCTGTTCTCTCCCACACAAACCTTTTCCATCTCCAGGCAGTGGAATAAGACATCAACATCATCCTCATTATAGCACAGGGTGGCAATATACAGTTGGGTATTATTTGTATAACATAGCCCAAACTCTTAGAGGAACCCTCTTAGCTGTTTCATATAGATGCTAAAGGGCAGGGGTGAGCAGACTGATCTCTGTAGCACCCCAGAAGATTGGAGTCACTAGCCAACATCTCCTCTCCCACTACTACTGACTGGAAGAGCCTGCCATAGAAGGAGGGAGACTACTGCAAAACTGCAAAACAGTGCCTTCTATCCCCAACCCTAGTTAACAATCCAGTAAGAGACAATGACTGAGGATATTGCAGGCCACTAAGAGATCTAAAAAGACCAGGGAAGAAATACAGCTCCCATCCAGATCCCAAAAAGGTCATCCAGGAGAGTGGCCGATGCCATGTCAGTCCACACCAAGACTTGAACTCTGACTGAAAAGGGTCCAGACATTCAGCTTTTTCTAGGATGCTATGTAGCTGATCCACCACTGCCATCTCAACAACCTACTCCAAAAGGGGAAGCTGATGACTGGTCAATAATTTTCTAAAATCACTGCATCCAGGAATGGCCTCTTTTAACTACTCATTTGTATAATTAACCAGGTAAGAGTTGACTGACTGATAAGGAAAGAGATACTGGAGTAAAGATAAAGTGTTCAATGAAGGTGTTGACACAGTGCACATCTGCTGAAAAAAGGCCCAAACCATATTAGGTACAATAAGAAATGGTACTGAAAATATAGTACAGGTAGTCCTCGGGTTATGACCACTCGTTCAGTGACTGTTCAAAGGTACATCAGCACTGAACAAGAGAGACTACTGGTCCTCTGAATTCCAGCCACTGCAGCTTTCTTGCAGTCATGTGATTGCAATCCGGGCACTTGGTGCCTGGCTTGTGATTATATCGCAGCAAGCCACGGTCATGTGATCACAATTTCCAATGTTCCCTGCCAGTTTCCCCCACAAGCAAAGTCAATGGGGAAGCTGGCAGAAAGAAGTCTCTCAACACTCCCACTGCTTTTTCACCCACCTGCACTCCGGAGCACCTACTTCCAGCCCCCACGCTCCAGAGTGCCTGCTCACGACAGCCCCCATGGCACCAGTCTGCATGCCAGAGCATCTGCCCATGGCACCCATGCATGCTCCAGAGCACCTGCTCACAAAACCCCCCTGCCCCCTACAGCACCCACACTCTAGAGTGCCTGCCCATGACACACTCCGCTCCCCTGTGGTGCCTGTGATCCAGAGCACCTGCCTGCGCTCCAGGGCGCCTGCTTGCAGCACCCCCCGCCCACAGCTCTCACCTGCCAGCCTGCTTGCCTGGGACTCCCGCCTCTTCCCGCTTAATGACCCACATGGTCCTGGGGTTACGACGGGCAACTGGGACTTTGGGATTGCTGTTGCTAAGTAATGTGGTCAAGTGACATTGTGCTTTACAACCGCATTGCTTAGCGACAGAAATTCTGGTCCCAATTGCCCAACTGTACAAGTAGTCCTCGAGTTACGACAGCAATTGGGACTGGAATTTCTGTCGCTATTAGCCTTGGTAGCAGTATGACTGCCCCTGAAGACCACCTCTCTGGAGAGTAGTAGGCTTCCTTCTCAAGCTGGTTGGCCAATGTGAGAACAGACTGCTGGACCAGATGGACCCAGGGTCTGATCCAGCAGGGCCCTGCTTATATTCTTATGTTCTTAAGACATAAGGCAGCTTCCACACCTGTAAAGATGCACTGACAACTTCCTACTTCCAGAGAGTCTCACACACACACTGCTTCTCACAGAAGTGAGAAGGATCCAAGCCACAGGTAGCAGAAGATAGCTTAGAAAGCACCCTATCCACGTCCTCTGAGTTCACATGTTAAAAAGAATTCCAGATAATATGGCAAGATGATGCCCTACTCATCACCAAAGACTGTCCATGAAGAGACAAGATTCCAGCAGATCCATACAAATTTGTCAAAACACTGTGCAAATTGATCACAGTGCCTGTGTGTGTGTATGTGTTTTTCAATCCTGACTTCTCCCTAAAAGGGAATTAGTCATCTTAAACAAAGCCGCTGGATGACAGCTCATTGATGCAGTATCTCCTACACCTTGGTGATAAGGGACATAAAGGCACTTCACTTCCCTTATCACCGTGGCATAGGCCCAAACATGGGTGTGTACCCATGATTGGTCTGATTCACTTTTTTTTTTTTTGTTCCACCAGCACTATAGGTATCATTTCTGGTGCTTCTTTTCCTGGAGGTCCCCAGGAAATCAAAGAGTGAACTGGGATTGGTCCCCAAAAAGAGGCTGCATAGGGTTAATCATGGTCAGTGCTTGGCTTCCTTCCTGCTGCCAGTGGCTCATTAGGTACTGAACCGAACTGCCCAATGGAAAACTGGGAAACTTCCAAAGCACCCTCTGGAAGCCATTGGATAGTAGATTCCCACAACTCATGGAGATCACAGATGGCTAGAAATGCAAATGGATCAGCATATGATCAGACCACAGCAAAGAGATCATGGAAATTGTCTCCAAATCCAAATCACATTTCTGACTCAGAGACAGAACCACAAGCTAGGTGGCTTTGGTGACTTGAGAGGGAAAACTTCAGACTCAGAATGTAGAAAATGGTCATAATTCACAAAATTTATGAAGAGAAATATAAAAATAATGATTAAATAATGATATTTACTGTTTAGCAAGATCTCATAAATCCTAGAAACAAAGGGAGATCAAAGAAAAGATCTTGGGGGGTTGATAGTGGTGGAAGATGAGATGTTTCTCTATGGCTTCTGGTTCTGCAGAAATGTAGTCTCAAGTTCAGAGATGGATTTCAAACCAATTATCAACTGTAAGTTTCTTTGCACTGATTCCAAAATGGCACAAGGGAATTAAGCAAAGATAATGAAGGTGACATGAAATCAGTGATAGTTAATATAACTGGATCCATCTTTTGCTGCCAATCTGTCATCCTTAAATTATGAAAACAAATTCTGGTGGAATATTAGGAAAAGTTTCCTAATGGTAAGAGTAGCTGGACAGTAGAAACAGTTATTGAAATAGATGATGAATTCCCCTTTGCTGAATCTTGTCAAACAGAGGGTGGGATATCTGTCAGGAATACTTTAATTTAAATTTCTGGACTGAGTGTAGTTTGGGGGCTTAATGATGCTGGAACAATCAGATACTGTACTGGGATAATTATTTCCCCAATACA